CATTTTCTTTGACAAACTTAACACAATTTTTTAATTAAAAGAAATAACCTTAGATTTGATGATAAACTATATTCGTATGACATTAACCATATAAATAATCACCATGGCTCCAATTTAGCCATGATTACCTGTACTTAATTCTCTTCTTGACATAGAACCAAAGCACATTTTATTATGGACAACATTGCAGCTTCAGGTGACCATTAAACAAATCTGAAAGTGTTTCAGTTGTTGCTGGTGTTTTAAAGCTGTTTTTTTTTTTTAATATTTTACAATTAATTTTTCCTGATCCCTTGGAGTTTCAATATACCTCCTGCATTTTCTACTTATCTACTCATTCAATGAAGGAAACAGGTCCATATGTGCAGTTTTAGACCTTCCTTCACCAGCTTGGAAGCTCCTGTCCACAGGGAACCTGTTTATACATCAGAAGATGTAGAACTCTGTGTATAGACAGGAAGTTTGCTGAAATTAATTTTCTAAATGATACTATCTACATAGAATTTAAAACTTATGTATGGAAAAGGATGAAATATGCTAGCTTGCAGTAGTTAAAGTGCAGAGAAAAGAAACTCAAGTTTATAGTTCAGATAAGATCAGTGCTATAGAAAGCAAAAAAGAAAGAAGTCATTGCATCAAATTTACCTTTGGCTATAGCTTTCTAAGATAGAGATGTCACATGAAGGAAATACCTCAAGCAGTAAACGTATAATTAAATCATACAAAGACTATTGATACAAATCAGTATAGTTGCTTTACTCTTAATGTGTTATCATGAATGCTAATGGACTCACACTTTCAGACTTGCTTGAAATAATATTTACATAAACATTCAGGAACATTCAGTTTGGCAGTTTCTAAATGAAGAATCGTCTCTTCAGTTTATTAAAATTAAACTGTTGTACAGTTAACATTACATGAAAGACAAATAGCAGCAGTTTCCCTGGGCTACATAAAGATGCTTATTTCTCTAGAGCAATGCCAGCAAATTGTCCTTGCTGTTGTAGAATGAGTCCCTGACTCAGTATCAGTAGTTTAATAATTGCACAGTTGTGACAGGTAAAGAAACAATGCTAGGGCATTTTTAAAAATTCCTTACTTTAGTTACTACTTCTACTTCCATTCATAAAAAGTTCTGAGCTATACATTATCCTCACAAGGAAAACTACATTCCTTCCACTGACGTCTAAAGGCTATATGTATTTATGTGAAACATATTTCTGTCACTAACCAATGCAGTCACAACAGTTCAACAAAATGAGTGAGCATATTGATGGGTATTTGTGTGTGTATTTTGTTTTGGCTTTTCCAGCTTTCACGTGCCAGGAGAAATACGGGACATATTTTGTGAATGAAAACATGCTTGCCCATTTTATTAATTTTTTAATCAGTGCCTCAAATATTATCAAGGTGTTCAAGTGCCCTTACACTATATCATATCTCCAACTGCACATTAACTTCTTACGCATTCCCCAGCAGCTTCCTATTTTTTAATTCTTCTGTCCACAGTATCTTTTAAATGAATTTGCTGACTATATTAACTGTTGCTTCAACACCATTAAAAATAACCTTAGAAACAGTGAGATTGTTTATGTAACTAGAGGAAAATAAAATTTATAGTTAGGTTCTTTAATGCAATCATTTTCTTTGTGCTACTTGTCACATTTGAATGTCTACATGACAACTCCACTATTTGTAGGAAGAAAGCAGTTTTCTTTTTCTTTTTTAATGGTGCATGAACAGATTGGTGAATAAGGGTTCACCACTAATAAACTACAATTAACCTTTCAGGAAACTTCATCAACTCTGAAAGTTCCTCCTTCTTCACATCAACATTCAAAATATGAGATGGCTCAGCATAGCATTATGAAAAATATCCCAAATCAATTGTGGAAGGCCTCAAAAATGAACGTGCATGCTAGGAGTATACAACTTGGTGCTCCTTATAAAGTATATAGAGTATATAAAGCTCATAATTTATGATTACTGGCCATGCAATACAGAAAGCATCAAGATGCCTACCCAATATGATATACCCACCAAACATTTCCAGTATTGTTTCCAAGTCTGCAAAACGTATTATCTGTACACAGCCTTATTCTATTTGTCCAGATGAAATATAAATGAAGAAGGTAATGGTAATGTCCCTAATACTACACCAAAGAAATTCTGTATGAAGGAAATTGTCCTACAACTGTATGTTGCTTCAAGGAAAATTGACAAACATTGTTAAATGAATAGAACCAGTAAAATGGCATATTTACCAAAGTCCAATTTCAGCAAATATTTTCTAGTTAATTTATTTCATTCATGGGTATAAAATGCATGAACACGTATTAGAAGGTATGTCTGTTGACGTATCCTTCATGAAGCTTGTCATCTATCAAATACTTGCTCAGAAATGCATAATGCAAATCACATCAGAATAAGATAACTTTAGAATGAGTGGAGCATTTCCAGCATTTCTTATGAAAGAATGCTGAAGCCATTAATTCTTGATTCATTATAGCATTCTCTTTCCCATCCACTTCTACAATTGGAAGAATTGCTATTTTACTTATTTGTAACTGTGAAACATTTTTCCTCCCTTTTTTTAAAGGAAATGTTTCAGTCAGGTCTATTGGGGTTTATGCTTCTGATTGTAAGACACAATCAAGACAAGGTAAGCGCCAAGAAATCAGTAGGATATTGTTTTAGCATGTGCTTAAATGTTTCCATCAGAAATCAATAAAGCTTAACAATTTTAGCTAGATCATACTATTTTGTACAACAAACAAAAATTAGCAACTGACAAATGAAATTGCTAATGTGTAGGGAACAGTTACAATAATAAATAAGTGCAGTTGTTAACATTTTTACGTCTCTATCACATATCTATTTAAAATTTGGCTTATAGATTTTAATCAATGTATTCTTATAAACTCAGGCAATTTATTTTATATCTCTAAAACACCCCACAACCATACTGTAATTAAATGTTCAGAGAAGCAAAATCATCATCATCATCATCATCATCATCAAGTAGTTTTCTTGGCGGCAACAACCATTTGCTGCAACGAATGCTCAAGGTATTCCATACTTGACATTTTCTTCTCTGATACATTAATTGAATTTCATAGCATCCTTACCCAAAGCTGCACTGAAGAGAGGTAATAATCTGATGCTTTAAATATACTAGCAAAATACATTAGCAACCCCAAGAGAGAAACAGATTTCAACTTTCCTGAAGTTTGCAGAAACCACTCCTGCCCACCCAGAGTTGTAACCAGACTGAAAGGGCTTAGCTACATTAAATGAAAAGTTTCTTAAATCATATTCTTTTAGAAGTAGTTCTAATTTATTTAAAAGACTTCATTAAACAATGCCAGTCAATAACTTTAACCTGGACTGAACCGTATTACAGATAAATGCATATCTAAATAATATTTTGAGCCAAACCATTGCTTAACCAACACCAGGAAATCTTCTTTTGGCTTAAACTTCAGACATGCAAATCAAATAATTCATTCAACATTTGCACAGTTTGGGCAAGTGTTTAGAAAAATAAAACTCAAGCCTCTGAATGGCCACATACTGGCACTTGCTTAAATAAAGCCTAAACTATTTAAGGCTGTTTGCAAATTATCCCAAATTAGTCACTATTTCTGATTTCCAACATGACAAACATTTCTTAATTATGTATTTTTCTAAATATTTTAAAATAAATTATTTTATTTTACTGTATGGCTTTGGTGCAGCCTTTATTAGCTAAAAATATACTGTTTCAGTTTGGCACATCTTAAATCCCTCCTCTCATACAAATCTACATAAGAATCTACCAGTTCCTAAAGTGGTAAAATATTGAGTGCTTTGAAAACTATCCACTCTGACTTTAACTTTATTGTGTAATTTATGCAGTGAATCAAAGGGCACTTCCATGGAAGAAAATTCCTTTCAAATTAAAAGACCTGTTTCCAAGTAAGCACACTCAGGATTTAGGAGTCAACTTCTTTGCTGATGGGTTTGACTTAGAAACCATTTTTTAAAATTAAATTTTGTTTTTTCCTGAATATATTGTAGTACAATGCAATTGATAACTTGCGAAAGTTGTATCTCAGAGTTCAACACTGAACTCAAGACAATTTTACCTGATTGGGCATGTAAGCTAGCTACATACCTGATATTTAAATTCTTACACAAATACATTCTGTTAAACACAAAAAATAAGTTGTACAGCATGAATTAAATTTGTAACCATGTAAAAAAATTATAAATTGATCCAGCTATATTGGTAGGAAAATTATAGGCTGAAAGATGACAAATATGGCTGAAAGATGACAAATATGTATCATTGCAAGAGATATTTTTACTTTTCACATTAGACAGCCATAACACAAATGAAAACTTCTAGCATGATGTACAGGTCAATCACTTGTGTTTTTATGATGCAAAAGAACTTATCGTCTTATTTTGTACTTGATGCTGGCTGCGTTTGGACATCACAAAAAACATGGTTATTATAAGAGAAGTGATGTCTGTTTGGACATCACAAAAAACATGGTTATTATAAGAGAAATGAGCTACAGCAAGCCTTGAGCTCACATATTCCTTTTTTCTGCTTCTCTGGTATTGCCATATGAAATTGGAAGCTTTCACATTTGATTAACAGCAGTTTAATGCTAAATGGTCAATCTGTGGTCAATCTTATCTAGAGTGTACTGAAACAGGCTACCTTCAAACTGAGTTTTGAAGATGGCTTGTTTCAGACTAGTAAGCCACAGTCATTAAAAGTAATCTTGTTACTTGTTGAGTGCGAACAAAGCTATAGTTGAACAAAAACTGAAGCAAAAGCATGCCATGGTTTATCATGAAGTCCCAATGCAGCAACAATATAAAGATGCAAAGACAATACTATTAGATCAGGGGTCCAAGAAGAGACTATGTGCATGTTAACTATGGGTAAATTCAAGATGGAGCTCATGTATTTCCAGTTTATCAGATCAGAGAGATGGTAGCAGAATAAGTCATCTCCAGACAACTTTATGAATGTGCTTTTAAGGAGGAAAGGGGTAGATCAGTTACCAGTAGTCCCATAAAATGAACTTCATTCTAGCTCTTGGACCCCTGATTTATTGCAGCCTCCTCGAGGAGGATGAAACACTGGCAGCAACAACAATAGCACAAAACTTTTGGCATATGAAATATTAACACAGGATAGATCCTGCATTGCCCCTGCTCTTTTGATACCAAATTTTCTATTTTTGTCCATGTGTTCTCTTTGCCATCAATTCTGTTCTCGAGCTCCCAGTCAGCCCACAGATAACACACATACACGCGCAAGTGCGCAAACACACCCTCACGATGTGGGTGTCAGTTTTAAATACAATGATCCTCAGTTAAAGCTGTACGACTGAGGTAAAACAGTGCATAATTTGTGCTAGGAAATATCTGTACCCATTGGCTGACACCCTTCCAGCTTTGCTGGTCCTGCAGAAGTTAATGAAAAGGAGATTTTTCTTCAAGGTAAAGTTACAGAGATGCATCTGAGAATGTGTTGTCAGAACTGGTACCATTTTTTATCCTTGCATTTCAACATCATCTAAAAGCAAAACAAAGGGACAGAATATAATAATGCATCTGAGCGTATACATAATACCATTTATTCTAAAGACTATAAAGTATCCATTATGAAAATAATGACACCACAAAGTAAGAAGCTGAATGGATGGATGGATGGATTAAAGGGGTATGGAAAAATGAACCAATGAATATAAATTGCATGAATGCATTTTCATACTCTCTGCCTATAACAACTTCTAATTAATTTCAATAAGTATGTCAAGGAAAGTCCATCTGATTTTCTCTACTGACATAATGGGAATATTCACATTCCTTTCTCTAACATCCACAATGAACCAACTTTCATACTGCTATATTCAAATTGGAAAGAATACGCCACGGGAGTTGGCTTTCTTGTAAAAAAGGCAACTGATACTTAAGAAGAACTTACCTCATGTGCATGCTTTGAGAAAGAATCAGCACTAGCTAACATGGCTGCTGTTCGTTCTTCCAGCTCTCCCAATTTCTGTCCTCTTTCATCCAATGCTATTCTGGCTCGTGCTAACTCACAAACTACTCCTGATGCTGCTCCTTTGACTCCTTCAATACCACCAGGACCTGGTATATGCTGGGCGAGGCTCCTTGATGCCTTTCCAGCAGAAGATTCGCCAACTGACCATGTCAAGAACAAACAAATTACGTTTACATTCCTTCCAGAGGGGAACTTACTACTTGTTAGCAGAATTACATATTGAGAAAGAAGAAACAATACACTTTATGATAAAATCAAATGAAAATAATGTGTTTAAAATTACACAATAACTCTAACAGCAATATAAAGCTAAGTTGATATCCTTATTTAGTATATACGTTATTTTTAAAATGTTATTTGAAATTACTTAGAGGAAGTTATGAATGATATGTTCCTTATCCAATTTATAATGAAGTAACAAACCACCCAAGCAAGCCTTCTCTGTTGTCCCATCTGCCCTTTGGAACACTGTTCCCTCCAAAATTAGATTGGCCCTGACCCTGCTGGCTTTTCAGAAAGCTCTTAAGACATGGATGTGTTCCAGGCATGGGGACTGGAGTGTTAGTTAAAGCCTGTGATGTGGTTATTAATTGTCTAGATTGGTTTGGCTCCTCAGCAGGTCTTTATGTTTTATATCAGTGTTTTTCAAACTTGGCGACTTTAAAATGTGTTGACTTCAACTCCCGGAATTCTGGGAGTTGAAGTCCACACATCTTAAAGTTGCCGAGTTTGAAAAAACACTGTTTTATATTATGTTGTTGCACTGTTTTTAAATGTTGTAAGCTGCCCAGAGTCACCAATAAAACAATGAACTGTAACAATGAACTGTAAGATTCTGGGTGAGTATTACTTCAACTCACTTTTGTCTTTATGAACACAAAGTCAGAAACTGAAAAGTATTCAGTAATACCATTGTAACGGCTTGCCATTTTGTCATTTTACTTCTTTTTTCCACACTGCTGCTTTATGTTTTTAATTTGTTCTGCTGTGATACAATAAACTATTAACATTTTTTATATTCCCTGGAAGACTATGAATTGGCAGAATGCACAGTACTGCATTACCAACAAAAGAGAGAACAATATTCTTATATTTTAATAATATGTGTGTTAGAAGATTTTAAAAAGTTATTCTTACTGAATAGACATGAGGAAAGCAGACTGCAACTGTGTGTCAGCACAACTGTGACTCACATAGGAATTTTTAGTACTTCTCTTAAATATAATGAAATTAATGGGTTCAAATGCCTCCGATTCTAGTTTAATCTTGTTTAAACTTTGGAAATCTCTTATGTAGGAGATTTTGATTTTCTCTGTCTCTTGAACTGCTTTCACTTGTGGAAGGCCAATAAATATTTTTTGTTTCTATTTGGGAAAACAAATCAAATGGTAAGTGCTTACAGAGTCTGTATTAGATATTTATTTCTGCTTTATGTGTCCCTATTTAAATTTTGCATTTGGATTCTTTTAATGTTATTTTTCACATGTGACAAACTCTGTATTCTGAATACAACAGAAAATGCAAAATAAATTAGTAAACAAGATATACAGCCTTTTATTCCTTTCTAGTCTACAAAGAATAACCAAGAGGATACTTGGTTAGGCCTTGACAGTACTACACAACACACCTGACCTAACCAAATACACTAAGATTGAAATACCCAGAATCATGGATCTCATTAACCTCTGCCTCATTACCTATTTTCAGTTTGATGGACAAATATACCAACGTAATCAGAGGAACACCCATGGGATCACCACCTTCAGGACTCATAGCAGAGATTGTAAGGCAGTGTCTAGAAACTATAGCACTCCCATGCACACAACCAAAAGTATGGAACTGGTATGTAGATGACACCATCATAATAAAAAAGCAACAACTAGAGAAGACACATGAAATAATCAACAACATCTTCAAAGGAATAAAATTCACCAGACTGGAAGAAAACAACACGCTACCCTTCCTGGATAACCACATTAGCAGAGGAAATGATGGCAAATTAGAAACACAAGTCTATCGAAAAACAACCCACAC